AGTTAAACAGCCATAAAAGGCAGAGCCCAGTCAAAGAGTTCCCAGCAATGAGAGAGGTAGGTGCTCAGGGGAAGAAGAACACTGTGAGATGGGGGAATCAGGTGTTAAGGAGGCATTTGAGAGCAAAAGGGACTATTTGCAGTTGCTTATGTTTAAATTAATTTTCAATTTATTAAAGTCATAAATTTAAAAACAGATTTTCTTAAGTTTTTAAATTTAATTTACATATCTTGATATTCTATTTTGAAATCTAGTAATTTTTGTATAAAAGTAAGAACAGTTACTTGTTCTTTGATTAATGTTCACTGAGCCCATGGGCTTGACATATTAAATTTACTCGAACATTACTCATGCATTTACAAACTTAGTTAATTAAATTCTCTTAAATATTTAAACTACATTGACAATTTTAATATACTTGATATTTTTCCAAGCACTTTGAATTCCTCACAGAGCAGATTTACAAGTAAAACAAGAAGAAAATCTTGTTAAGCATGTAAATAACTCTCATAAACCTGATAATCTTTAAATATGGCAAATCAAGTTATTTTAAAGATTCCAATACTGTTTACAAACTTAAATTATCTACACCTTTAAGCTTCAAATCACAAGTCTAAAATAAATTACACAATTCAATCTGAAATTACAAGACCAATCTGTCAGATTCTCTAATATTCCAAATTCCCTTAAATATTACAGACACTCTAAAAAACAAACACAGACAGAATATCCCAACCTTACAAAAACTTTTCCTTTCCCCAGGCCTGTACACAAAAGAATTGCATAATGGATTGGTTTTTGTTTAATCATTTCTAATTCCTTCACAAGGTGGTAGAGTGAAATAAATTTTGTGCATGCTGCCTCAATTCTACAATCATCTTATTGATATGCCCCTACAACTACAAAAAAGCCTGATATTTACCCTTCTAAATGTTGGCAGTTCAAATCCACCAGTTGCTCCTTGTTTCTACTCTGTCCTATAGACTCACTGCTATGAGTCAAATTGACTCGACGGCAACGGATATAAATGTAAACTTAGATTTAAACAAAACTAGTATATTTATTAACTTATGTTACTTATCTATGCAAAGAAACAAAATTACATTACAGTGAATGATACAATTAGCCATTACCTTACGCTATCACTATGAGTCGGAATCTACTCCACCGCACACAACATCATGTTCTCAGAAGCATGGCTGGCCCAAGCAGTTTGCCATTGGCTGCTAATTTAAAGGTTGGCAGTCTGAACTCATCTAGCTGCTCATCGGAAGAAAGACCTGGCAAAGTGCTTCCATAAAGATTACAGCCAAGAAAACCCTATGGAGCAGTTCTACTGTGTAACACAGTCGGAATTGACTCCATGGCATTTTTTTTTTTAATCTGGTGGGCTGAATCCTCTCTCCCTTCCCCCACTTGGTCTTACTTTTATATCCCAGTAGGCTGGTGTTCACCTTTAACACATCTGGCAGTTGGTGAACACGCCCTAGGAGAAGCTGGGTTTTGCTGATATTTCTGGTCCCTGACCTTTGGATAGCTTCAGCAATTGATAACTCCATTGACACACAGACCTGGGATTATGAATATCTGTTCTGTTTAGACTGAACTAAATCCATTTTTACAAGAGTCTTGGATCAGTGGTCTATATATCTGAGGTGTGTACAACCGGAACAGGATATGGTGGTTTCACTTAATTAACTAATGAATTAATTTTAATTTACTTTAATGTTATTCAGATGGCTATCATAAAAACTTGTTCAGACTATTGGGTGGTTTAAGCAAATGAAGGCTTTTTTTCCAATTAAAGGGTTTGGATGGACACCCAGTGACCTAAAATATACTTTTTTCAGATAAGGCAAAACAGCAAATGCATGGATGTAAAACTGCGGGGTGGGGGTGGGGGTGGGGAGAACGTGAAACCAACTTGTACAAGGAAGGGCAGGTATTCATACTGAAACTACAGAAATAAATGACAGACAACAGTTGAACGCTGTTCATTTCCCATGACCCCATGACCGGACTGCCCGAGTTCTGTGGCACCACAGACTGTGAGGAATCCAGACTTATTTGGTGGAAATGAAGCCACAATTTCAGAAGGACCACAAATTTTGAGGGGTAAATTTTAACTTCCTTAATACTTCTAGAACCCGTCTGCTCCCCTTTATCCCCACAACCCCTGCCTTACTCTGTCCCTTCTAATTTCTCACCCCCTGGTTTCTGCAACTCCTGAATCCTCCTCAGATGTAGGTTTTAGAAAACTTCATTCTGGCAGAATGGCGGGTGGAGTGGAGGGGGCCAGGCTAGATACAGGCCAAAACCCGTGGAGCTCCTCGTGCCTTTCAGGAAAGCGTGATAGCTCCTTCCTTAGAGGGGTAGAGAAAATCATAACTCCTGCCACCGCCCACCCGCCTTTCTTCCAGTTATAATCTGCCATTCCCTCCAGGCCTCACGCTGTTCTCATCCCCAAAACCCAGCTGGAGGGCGGGGGAGGAGGTGCACCTCGAGGCTCCGCCCACGAAAGGGCACGCGTGCGTGCCCGATGCTGCTGCGGCCATCTTAGACTTGGGCACTCACATACCTTCGTCCCTCTTCAGCGGGGTCGCCCTGTGGTGCGGCAGCTGCGTGCGCGGGCGGGGAGAGACGACTCTGCACCCCCACCCCACCAACCCCTTGGTGGGCTTGTCCAGGAAAGACTAGCTGTCCCCATCCCCTGCCCCTCCGGCCTCCACCTAAAACCTCTAGACGGTATCCTGGTGGCAAATTCCAGCTCCCCGCCCTTGCCTACTTGGGCGACTCTGGGAAGGCGCCTGTTCCTTGGTCTGTAAAGTGGTAGTTTGAGGCCTCCAAGGCCACCAGCTGTTATGACTACTGATTAGGCACCAATTACAATTCTTAGCTTCAAGCCTGGCACATAGTATGTGTTCAATAAATGTCCAGAAACTTTTCCTGCAGGAGTTTGCGGAGTGCCTTATAGCAACCACCTTTCTAGCCACCACTGTCTGCAGCACCATCTTCTCCAAGCGGTCTTCCCCCACGATTACGTTACGTCCCTGCGTGTAGTCTTTGACAACCTTGTCGGAGGGGCAAGGGGTTTGAGAAGCCGGTGCTCCCGGGCATGAAAGTGAAGCTCGTGAGTCCTTTTGAACTTGCATGTGACCATTTTGGAAGGGAGTCAGAAGTGCAGATCAGGGTGCCCAGGACTGGAAAGACTTTATAGATTTTGGAACATTTAAACGCCCCCATGCTTGTTATTTTTATCACCCCTGGCTGTATCCCCACAGGGACTCCCATGCAGCATAAAACCCCGAGAATGAAAAGCCCTGTGTGTGTGCTGGCTGTGGGGGACATCAGGAAGGGGGAGCTGGGACACTATGTCCCCGGAGGAGCCAGGCGTGGGGGAGAAGGGCCTTTCAGGCCAGTGTGGGTGGTGGCCCCAGGGAAGGAGAGGAATTCAGGCCAGGCCTGAGGTGGTATGTGGGGTCCCCAGACACGTGCAGTTGCTCCACCAGCTCTAAAGCCAGGGCCCAGAGCCTGGAGTCCCTGACTTCCTAAAGGGGTAGGAAACTGGAACCCAAGGAGATAGGGGAAGTGTGTTGGGGGTGGGGGAGAATGGGCTAGAGAGAAGGTGGGGAAGGACCAAGGCCTTCCACAGGGCTGGGGGCACTGGTGAACCGTGCCCAGACCTGTGGGGAATTCTGAAGCCCGATTGGAGATCTGATTAGTAATAAACCAGGTAAATGCCAGGCGTGCCTAGGCTCCCCAACTCCAAAGGATACAACAATGACCAACCAGGGGATTGCACAGTTTATTTTCAAACACACTCAGAAGGTGGGGGGTGGCCACGGGGTCCATCTGCCCCCCCATGCATTTGGCTTAACCAAGAACTTCTCTTCCCTTACCTCCAACCCCTAGGCTGTCAAGATAGATAAGACACTCATTGCCCCCGCCCAAGGTGGAGCTGAGGCAGGTGAGGAGCTGGGGGGAGGGGGATGAGAGGGACAGGGAAGGGGGTAGAATTCAAGTATTCACAGTTCCCCCATGCCCACCCCCAGATTACACTGTGCCCAGGCCATGACAGAGGGAAAGGGGGTCAACTGTGGAATTCCTAGTGGTATTACTAGCCCTTCTCCCACTCAGAAATCTCAAGATGAGCTCCCTGCCCCTCTTCCCTGACAATAACAAATCACAGTCCTGAACCCTGTAGTCTGGGCAAGGAGGCTGTACACTTCACTTGCCCAAGGCCCCTGCCTTCATCACATGGAGGGATGGGAGGGGCACGGGCCTTCACCTGTAGTGAATGGTTTGGGAGCAGGTGTTTATAAGGTGAAGGGAAGGGGGAAAATAGAACCCTCAGGAGGCAGGGATGGAGGGTCCTGATAGATAAGTCAGGCAGCTCTTGTCTGCACCATTCCCTTACCTCACTCCACCATAGGCCCAGAATCCCTGAGAGTCCAACCAAAAAGGCAATATGGGGTGGGAGGTGGGAGAGCTGAGCAGGACCACAGGCTCAGGGCTGTGATGTGTAGGGAGGGCCAAGGCTGGGCTCTAGCCCAGCTCTCAAGCTCTGACCTTCCAGAACAATCCCAATCTTGGGAACCACAGGGCAGGCATAATGATCCCCACCCCACAAATGCTCTGGCCTGGGACAGAGTGGTAGGACTGGGGGAGGGGGGTCTCCCAAGGGTATTATAAAAAGCTAAAATCATTACAAATGTCCTGGGGAGAAGAGCTCTCAGCCTCTTGTCTCCCCAGGTGATCAATCTCCCTGGTGCCCAGCAGACAGGGCTGAGGGGGTAGGCTGCAGCCCCTCTCTGATAGGATGGGGCCCATTAGCACCATGCAATGTTGGGGCATCCCTGCAGTCTGACTGACCCCTGGGCAGGGACCCCCCCAGAACTGGAGTGCCCACTTGCTAAAGCTTCTGTACTCTTGAGGGGTGCCCCCTGCAGGGGAGGGTAAGGAAGGGGAGGGGAGGAACGCTTGATGTGCAGGCAGGAGTCTCATCTGGGACCCCAGAATCTTCGTACCACATACTGGCCCAGCAGAACCACAGCCAGAACTATCAGCACGTTCCGGATGGGGACATTGCCTAAGTCCAGGGCGACGACCTGTGGGAGAGACAGGGTGGCCACAGAGGGGTTAGAGGGATCGGCAGAACATATGCCCGTCCCCCCTCCAGGGATGGAGTGGGTCTGGCAGGGGTAGCTTCTGCAGCACGGATGTGGCCAGCCCTGGAGCACTCACCCAGCCACCCCTCTGCGCGATCCACCGGGCGATGCAGTTCTGCAGCACGAAGTTGGCCACGAAGTGGGTCACCTTGTCCAGGAAGCCGGTCAGGCCGCGCTGGTAGACGTGCAGGGCCAGACGATAACCAAAGCCCAGGAGAGCCACCACGCGGCCCCAGTTGATGCCGCTGTCAAACAGGCTGCAGGCAGAGTGTCCCATGTTGTCTGTTGAGGACCCCCAGAAGGCCACAGCCTGCTGTCCCTCTCCCACCCCCTGTATCCCCCACCGCTCTCCCAACTGTAAAGCAAAATTGCTTAGCTATGAATCCAGGCCACAGAGGCTGCCCCAGCCTGGCTTCGATTTAGGTAGAGCCTGGTTCTCTGAGAAAGGAGAAAGCTCAGAGGGCAGCTGAGCTGGATGCTGCCACTGGGGTGTGGCCCTCAAGTCTACAGGTGCAAAGTGGCATGGAGAGGGCAGAGGGCAGAATGAGCGGATGGAGGCAGCAGGGAGATTACCTGTGGACGTTGCTGCTGGCCTGGCAGCCCGAGGGACAGCCGAGAGAGAAGACAGAAGTGGAGGTTAGGACAGGTCCCGGAATCACAGTGCGGGGAGGGGGAGTGTTGGCCTCCAAGGACAGGGGCTGGACATTAGCACTAACTCTAAATCTATCACCTACTCCTAGCTTCACCCCCAGCTTCAAACCTACCTTGACACTAACCTCCCTTACTCAGTTGGTAACAACAGCTAGCACTTCCTAAGTATGGACAGTGTTGTAAGCATAATTCCCCCATTTTACAGATGAGAAGACTGAGAGCTAGAAAGTTTCACAAAACCAGGAAGAGGCAAAGCTGGGATTTGGACCTAGCTTTGGGCTCTCTAATCACTACACAAGATTGCCCCGTGGTTGTCCTATTACAGTAAAGGAAAGCCATTCCTAGGGCCTGGTAGAGGTTAGCAACCTTACCATCTTCTGTGTGGAACGTGTTCCCAAATTGGAAGGAGAGCTGTGTTACATCTGGGTTAGGGAGCTGTGCAGACATCCTCACCCATGGCCTCTCTAAAGTCCTTGGTCTAACCAGTCAAATCCTCAGTGTCAGAGCTCAAAAGATGAGGAGCCTGAGGCCCAGAGAGAGAATGATAGGTGGCCAAGGCTGCCCAGCTAGTTAACAGCAGATCCGGAACAGGAAATAAGTCTGCTGAGACTGACAGAGGAATCGTCACATGGGTAGGGGCACAGCATGTAGCGAAAGGACAGCAGAGAGGCAGTGGCTGGAATGGGTGGGGAGGGGCCGGGCTACCTCGAGGCGACCTTGATGAAGTACTCGTGAGCGTTCTCTATTGTTGGCTGCAGGTGCTGCAACATGGTCTGGAATTCCACATCGTAGCGCCGGTTGATGTCATCCCCAATGATGGCGAGCTGCCGACCCACCTGCCCCATGATGCTGTAGGGATGGGAGGCAGGTGGGTGAACAGACAAATGGGCACACAGCACACAGTGGGGTCTGGACTCACAGCAGAAGAGTTCTGCTTGAGACCCCCCAGCCCTGTGCACCCCTTCTTGCAGGTCCCTAACAGAGTTCTTAGCACATGAAGGCTGGGCCCAGGGACAACAGGCAGATGTGGACTGAAATAAAAGAATGCAAGGTCCCAGATGGGCATGGGAACCCAAAATGAAAAAGGAGCAACAATGGGAGAAAGACGAGACTCCCTAGGCCTCCCCAAGTCCCAGGACTTACACAGTGACCCCGGGTGGGCCCCTCCTCCCTGATGTCCCTGTGGGCCTGGGGGCCACCACTTACCTGTTAGGTTCCAGGGGCAAGGAGACCATCTCTGGGTCAATGGGTGTGGCCGCCCCTTCGGCCTCCTGCTCCTGCTGATGGCGGTGAAAGACATAACTGCGGAAAACCTCCTCTGTCTCCCAGGCTACCTGCTCCTCTGAGGATCAAAGCTGACAGTCAGGGAGGGAGAGCCAATCCCAGCACCCAACCCTTTGTGGGTGGTTCAAGGCCAGTGGTCCTCTCCTGGGAACAGAAATGTCCCTACTCCCACCCCGTAGTTAACAAAAAAAAAAATCGTTGCTGTTGTGTCGATTCTGACTTATAGTGACCCTACAGGACAGAGTAGAACTGCCCCGTAGGGTTTCCAAGGAGCGGCTGGTGGATTTGAACTGCTGACCTTTTGGTTAGCAGTCAAACGCTTAACCACTGGCACCACCAGGGCTCCCACCCCTTAGTTAACACCTAGTAAACATTTAGTAGAAGGCCTGGTGGCACAGTGGTTAAGTGTTTGGCTGCTAACCAAAAGGTCAGCAGTTCAAATCCACCAGTTGCTCCTTGGAAACCCTATGGGACAGTTCTACTCTGTCCTATAGGGTTGCTATGAGTCGGAATCAACTCAATGGCAAAGTTTTTTTAAACATTTAATAGACATACAAAATCCCTAATGCTTACTCTGCCGGGTACTGTCCAGGCACTTTTCATTTAATCCTCACAACAGCCCTGTGAAGTAGGTGATCCCCATTTTACAGATGGGGAAACAAAGGCACACGGCATGTAAGTAACTTGTACGAGGTTACACAGCTACAACAAGCAGTGGAGCCAGGCTATAATCCCAGGCACTTGGGCTCCCGACTATTTCAGTGTGTATAAGGTACCCACACTAGTGGCTCTGGGAACATGGGAAACACGTTTGAAACTGTGGCTTTGAGCCTAGAAAAGTCACATAGGGAAATAGGGACAGATCTGGGAACGGAACTCAAAGACACAGGGAGCAGCCCGGACTTGTGTAGTGGGCCCTGAACCCCAGGCTTCCCTGACAGCCCCCTTGGAAGAGCGAGTTAGGGCAGCCATCTTACTTCCTCCCCCAAAGTCACAACAGTTGCTTTCCCTGTTTAGCCGACCTGACTCAATGAGAAGCCAATTTACTTCCTTCTTTCTCCTACTGCAAGGATACAAGAGCCAAGCCCCATTCTTCTTTCCTCCTCCCTCAGCCCCTGATCCCGCCCCTCTGCCCTGGAATGGCGATGTGCCCATCTTCCTATTCACTCTCTCGCCTCTCCCAGCCTCCGGACCCTCCTCCACCGAGACTCCTCCCCCTCCCTGGCTTAACCTTGACTGCAGCTCCAACTTCTGAGCCCAACAGGCCACTTGCAGTGGACGGGGAGATAGTTTTCTCCTTTCTCCAAGGTGGGGAAACTGAGGCTGGAGAGCCTGCCCACAAGCCCTGGCCCTGTCCACTTCCACTCTCTCCACCCACACAGACAGCCCCGTGGTTATGGGATGAGTGAGGGAAGGGGCAGGAAGATCTTTATACCAGAAGCGGAGGATGGGGTAGAGTCTCCGCAGTCCTGCCTGGGAGGACCCGGGCCTTGCCTGGATGCCATTTTTCAGGTCCTAGTGGAGGATAGCGTCAGTCTGTGGAGATGAGTGAGAAAAAGCAGATAGGGATGAGCAGGGGGTATTGACTGGAGATCCCAGAGAGGTTCCCAGCCACACAGCAGGGAAGGCTCCCCCACTCCTGGAACAACCCCCCAGCCCTCACTCCAGCCACTTCTTATCCCACCACCGTGGGTCCCAGTGGAGTCTGCTGGGCAGAATCAGAACTTATTGAGCATTTTACTGGCAACCCTGAATGGGAGGTGGAGTGGAGAGGTGAGGCAGCCAAGGACACGTTGAGTGTGCGGTCAAGATTCGCGACCAGGTCTCTGTACCTCAGTGTCTTCAGCCGGCACTGTGTGTGGCTGCAGCAGTGCCCTCCTGGAGCTCAGTCCCATTTCACCTCGAGTGAGACTAGTTCTTCCACCTGCTCCTGGGGCCTCCTGCACCCTACCCAGCATACTACCAAAAGCTTGCCACTCTAGCCAATGACCCATGAAGTCCTTCTTGAAGGCCCTACTTCCCCTTGGCCAGTCAGAACACACCTGTTTTCCAACTCAGGCTGGCTAGCTGCAAACATTTCCTGAGCGCCTACGATATACTCCTACCACTTATAAAGTACTTGCCTGGTATTGGACGTTGAAAACTCACATTAACCCAGCGAGGTAAGCATCATCATACCCATTTCATAGGTGGGAAAAGTGAGGCACAGGGTGGTTAGTGCCATATAGCTAGTCAGGGAAACTCAGGTTGGTTCTCTGAATCTCTGTAAGTCCATAAACTCAACACTCCTTTGAGATTTATTTTCCAGTTTGTCAACCTGAGAGGGTATCTGTTCTCCCTTTACCTCTTGCCTGTCCCCTCCCGACTTCTGCCTCAGAGCCCCCACCCTGCCTCACACCATGCACCCACACCACACACCTGCTCTCCTGTCCCCAGACCCAATTCTGGCCGTAGTCCTGCTCCAGCGATCTGCTCTGTGAACCCTGTGTCTGTGAAGAGCATTTCCTGGGCTGGGGTTTCACTTTCAGTTTACACCGCCTTCCAGGGCCCCATTTTCCAAGAAGATGCCTCCATCATCCTGGGGAGAATGACCCCTTCTCCTAGCCCTGAGGAGGGCTGCCCCACCCTGAGCCAAGCACAGCAGCCCCCTCCCCAGGGACAGCCTCCATATCCTCACCTTCCTTCCTCTCAGGCCTGGGGCCATCTTTGAAAGTTCCCAGGAACCCTCCAGGAAGGCGTGGTGGAGGGCTGACCACCCGTGCACTCAGCTTCCACCCCTCCACTTTCTCAGGGACATGCAGAAGGCAGACCACCCTCTCCTCCGCCCAGGGCACCAGGCCTCATAAAGCAGACCTCTGCCTGGCACAACCCCATCTGGGTAGCTCCTTACCAGATAAGATGCCCTCCCTCCCCCCTGGCCCCTGAAACCCAGCATCCCAGGACAGCAAGGCTGGAGGATGCTGACTGCACCTCCAACCCACTCTATCACCACCCCAGGGGTTTACTACTGGGAGCAGAGGGGGCCTCAGTGTGGGGTGGCCCCAAGGTCAGCAGCCTACACCAACTTGGCCCCCATTCTGAGTGGCCCAACTTCCTGGTAAGGGAAGTCCACTCCACCCACCTCCTAGACTTGCTGCTAGCGACCCTGGCCCAATGTGCCCCAGCAGAGATGGAGATGCCTGACTAAGCCTCAGACCCAGTCTAGGGCTCCTGGACTGCAGGAAGCGCCCTGAAAGTTCTCCCCTGCTCTTGACCTTGGCTCTGACCTCCACTCCCACCCTCTAGACTGCTAAGGGACCCAGTTCTCTGGCACCCTGTTCTCCAGCACCCCAGGGCCACAGCAAGACGTGAAGCCATCTGAAGGGTAGCAGCCGGGAGTCCTGGCACAGCCAGGCTCCCAACAGGGTTAGGTGGAACCGCTAAGGCAAGCCCTAAAGGCCTCCCCTTCCCCATCGACCTCCCCAGAGGCTCTCTGCCCCACCTGGGGCTGGGGCTGCGATGAGGGCGTTGGATGGGCAGTACCCTCCCAGCTTACCTAACCAGAGCCTGGCCTAGACTGGGGATGGCTCAGCAGGGCCGAGGCCGAGGGTCTTGAGGGGCCAGCAGCTGCTCCCTCGGGCAGGGTGCCTGCCGACGCCCAGCTTCCAAGAATGGGCGTCAGTGCATTCCCGGTATCTGGATGCCGCTTCGGCTTGTCCCGTGGCCCTAAGGACCCGCACAGAGCTGCAGATCATAGAGGTGCAGGCTGCGCTTGCTCCAATCAGCTCCCTCTAGAGGAAGTTCCTCTGTGGCCGCCGGATGCGACACCCAGTCTCAGCCTGGCTTCCAGGCCGCGGCAGCTCTTGCCCCGCCCCAGACCCAGCCAGGACGAAGCGGCTCCTCTCTCCCACAGCTTTTCCTACACCTGAGTCCCAGTCTTTGTCCTTGGTCTTTTCCCCCTTCCATCAATCAACACCAATAAAAAAGCCAGAAAGGCAAAGTTTCTTAAGCACCCACTCCATGTGTCATGCACTTTAGCAACCGCATTGTCTTATCACATCTTCTCAACAACACTTGGGGCTAGGTTCTGTGGACTCTGCCCATTTTAAAGATGAACAAACTGAGGCTCAGCTGGTATATGGTACTCCCCCAAGGTCACTGAGTTGGGTTTATAATCAGGTGCTGTGGGGAATAATAATAATAAATTGAGATTCAACCTGTGCGCCAGCACCTTAGTGGTCTCTGGAGACACAAAGCCCCGAAGGTCACAGGCAGGTAAACAGAGATGAAAACATGATGGGGTCTGTGCTGCCACCCGGGCATGTGTGAGCTGGGTGCTAAGGGGGCAGAGAAGAGGGAGGACAGATACTGTCTGGCCTCAGGAAATGGTTCTCAGGGACAGGGCAAGCCCGGAAAACTGGCTGGATGGAGGTGTGGGCAGAGTCCTTGACGGTGCCCTGCCCCATTCTGGGGGTCCCAGTCCTTCCCAGCCTCCCCTGTTCACTCCTGCCAGGCCTCCTGGGACTCTCGCCAACATCCCCTCCCCCAAATCTTCACCCCCTAGCCTCCTCAGACCCCCTGTCTCATCACCCCCGACCTCTCTGCCCCTAACTACTTTCCCAGTCACCCCATGCCCTACCTAAGTTACCCCCCTCCCCCCACCGCCTGACCTTTGCCTTCTAGAACTCCTGGAAGTTTCCAACTGGAGGTTTTAATTTGAAAGCTCCTGCTGTTCTTAAGCAGTTGGTCCTGGAGTGACCACTAGGGATCCTCCCTCTGAGTCAGGGTCCCCCTCAGGATGGAGGCCCCAACTCCAACCCACCGACCCCGAATTTTAGGCCGCTCCTCCATGTTCCGCTTTTTCGGTAGCCTGGTGGGGAGCAAGAGCAGCCCAAAGCGCTCTCACAAGGGACTGGCAAGAGGCCGGGAGTGTCCCTCGAAAGAGCAGGATGCCGTCTACCTGATGATGGGCCGCCAGGGCCAAGTAGAGAAGGAACTCGAGCCACCCTCCACACTGCCTGGTGCCCTCATGGTGGCCACTCCCAAGGGCTCCCCACACCTGCCACTGCATGATCCCTCATGCCTGGGGGTGGGGGATGTGTGGGACCAGACTCTCACCCCCACAGAGATCCTGCGAGTGCCACCCCAGGGCAAAGAGGTGAGGTTAGTCCTGCCCAGAGGAAGTCAGGAGGTGCTGGGCAGCCTGTCTGAAAAGGAGGAGGAGGAGGAGGAGGAGAAGAAGGAAGCAGCAAGGCAGGCCTCCGGGGATACAGGGGCCTCGAGCAGGTAAGGGGCTAGAGCTATGGATGGTGGTGGTGAGGGAACCCTGCTGGGGAAAGGGCCTGGGATGGAGGTACTGGAAAGAGGCTGGGGATATAAGATGGTGGAAGGATATGGGCCTGAGATTGGGGACCCAAGCTGAGGAAGGTCCAGGAATGGGAGTCCTTGGATGAGTAAAGGAGTCCCTGGCTGCACAGGGGCGCCAGAGTCGGGGGGAGGGGAGAGGGGCAGGGATTGGGGATAGGGCCAAGGGATGGAAACATCAAGCCTGGAGTTGGGGGGTTTTGGGTGGGGGAGGAGGCAGGGACAAGGGTCCCCCCACAAGTGAGGGGTTGTGGATGGGGCACCAAGGATGAAAGAGGAAGGGACCAGGTCCCCTCACCCCTGAGGGGCGGCTGTGCCAGGATGGACTGGGGCTCCCACTCCTACCCCAGCCTCCTTTTCCAGGGCCCACTCCACTCTGCTCTCCCTCCCCACCCTCTCCCTCCTAGTTCCCAATCCCATGTGAAGAAGGAGGGATCTACCTCCCTAGACCGTCCTTACATGACTTTTAGGGAAGGATAGCCCCCCATGATGAAGACCCCAGAGGGCAGAACAGGGGGCTGCTGGGAGAGGGAAAATGGAAGGGGTTGATCAGGGCCTGCTGGAGAGCCTTGGGGGTGGTTGGGGCACCCCCTGCCATATTTCTGGGCCCCACCCACCTCCCCCACCTAACTGTGCTTTGGAATCAGGATTGCCCAGGCCCTGGAGGTGGAGCAAGAATGCCTGCAGAGGGCCATGGGGCCACTGGAGGTCAGCCCCAAGACCTTCACCAAGGAGAAGGAAGAGTATCTGCTTGATGGTGAATGTGGCCCTCTTCCCCTAGGACTCCTCAGGGGTGTGGGGCCTGGCAGGACACAGCACTCAGTCTGAGGAAATGCTGGAGCTAGACTGTCTGCATTTGAATCCCAACTCCACCTTGGTAAACTGTGTGATGGTGGCAAGTTTTCAACCTCTCTGTGTCTCTGTTTCCTCATTTATAAAATGGGAATATGATAGTACCTATCTCACAGGGTAGTTGCAGGAATTAAATGAGATGTTATTTGTAAAGTGCCTAGAATTGTGCCTGGCATGTAATAGGTGTTTGCTAAAGAAAACAAGGAAACCCCACCCCCACCTCAGGCCTCCCCACTTTCCTCCTGGACCTGGGCCACCCCCTATTGCCATCAGCCTGGCAGTGACTACTATTCCTTCACAGAAGACCTCAAGCTGGCCTCCTCAAAGGCAGGGATGACTCCCTGGAACCACCTCCTCAGCTTGTACAAGCAGCTCCAGAAATCGGCCATGGCCAAGGTGTGTGGGACCAGCCTGGGGTGGTAGGGGTGGGAGTGAGGCCCAGGTGGGTCCCCTCCCCCACACCCAAATCTGGCTTGGGCCCAGGGACAGCAGTCCCTTTTCTTAACCCTTTGGGAGCTGTTTCTTCTCGCTTCCTGTTGAATCTGGGGAGGGAGGCTGCAGATATGGGGCCCTGGCCCTCCTCACCTACTCAAGGACCCAGTTTCCTCTCAAGGAAGGCTTGCCCCCTGAGAAGGAGAAAGGGGAGGAAGAGGAAGTAGAGGAAGAGGACAGCTTATTTAACCTCTGTGTCCCAGGCACTGTCGCCCTCCAGTCACCACTGCATAAGACTTTTAGGTCGACAGATACAGTGGGTAAGTGTGGTGCCGCCTCCTCCCCTCCCAACCTGCCCTTAGGCTGTGGGAGCCCCACGTTGGCCGTAGGCTCAGAAGTGCAATACCAGTACTGACCACCAGGTGGTACCAGAGGACCTAAGGTGACCACCCCAGATGGGAGATCTGCGTGTTGCCTCAGTGTGGCTGGGCTGGGTCCAGCTGGAAAGAGAAGGGGCCTCTTGCCTCCTGGTCTGAGAGGCAGTGAGGTGCAGGGGTTGATTGGGGCTGGGCCTTCTGGAGCACCACCCTTTTCTCAGCCTAGATTAGGTGGCCCTTTGGCTTCTAACTACTGTGGAAAGCCACTTCCATCCCTGGTTTTCCCATCATACATTGCTGTGACAGTGCCCCAGAGGGTGCCCCCCCAGCAGCCCAGACTTGGGGAGCAGTTGATTCAGTGGTAATAACAAAATATGATAAAAATAATCGTCGGCACTTATGTAACCGCTACTATGAACCAGACCCTATTCTAAGTACTTTTCACATGATACCACATTGCAACTCTATGAGGTAGGTCCTATCATTATCACCAGTGAGGAAACCAAGGCACAGAGAGGTTAAATAACTTGTCCAAAGTCACAAAACTAATAAGTGGTAGAGCTGGGACTTGACCCAGGCAGTTTGGGTTCTAGATCTATGCTCTTGAGTTGGTGGCTGGAGGGAGAGAGACAGATGTCTGCCCTCCAACATGTCTTCAGACTTTGCAGGAAGGCATCTGTGGAAAGTGAGCTTCCTGGGGAAGGCAGAGTGGTGGGGAGGTGGTACCTGGCTGGCTCCAGGTAATGGAAGAAGAAAGGGCTACAGACCAGGGATGGCACAGGGTTGGGATGAGATTCGGAGAGTGGGAACCCCCTTCTCTTCCTCGGGTCCCCAGCAGGTTGCTCCGCCTTTCTCCTGCCTGTCCCCTGCTTGCAGGTTTTGTGGAGTCTGAGTTGAAGAAGCTTCTGGTGGTGCAACGGGAGTCCCGCCTCTGGAAGATGGGCAGCAAAGAGGGCCGGGAGCTGCTGGCCCAACCAGAGATCACCCTGGAGGAGGCGGGCATTGTGGATGGCCAGGTATGTTTGGCCCATCCTGACCACCACCCCTCTGCCTGAGGGCCCCGGAGATAGTGGGTATGGAGGCCTCTCATCTTCACAGGGCCTGGCCCCTGGCTTCAGTCCTCACTTTGGGGAGGCATAACCCCTTCTTGGTGATGGCGTTTCTGAGATTGGGCCCTGGTCCCCTGCACATGAGCAAGTGTGCGTGTGCATGTGCGCGCACACACACACACACACACACCCACACACACACACACTTCTCCGTCCAGCTTTCTGTCTCTCACTGACCGACCCAGAATCAGGATGTCCATTTTTAAGTGTTAACTTTGCCATCCACTTGCTGTGTGGCCTTGGGCAAGTCCTTCCCCCTCTCTGGGCCTCAGTTTCCTCATCGGTACAGTGAGGGGATTTGTCCAGACCGGCTGTAGCACTTCCCTGTGCATCTGTAATTCCTACAATGTTGCTGTTTTTCTATTCTCTGTCCCACTCACGCCCACTCCCACAAACACACACAGATGCAGGGGAATTACCCCACTGGGTGGGTTTGAGGACCACGTGCCTGCTCACCCTCCCTGACATCAGCCTTGGGGCTTAAAAGTTACACTTCTCTGAGTACACATTGATGGATCTGTTGTTAGAAAACGTGTCCATGAACTTTTTGAGCTCAGTTCCATTTCATTCATCAGCTCATTCATTCATTCAGGGGATATTTGCCCCTGACAGTCCATGTAGTTTAGAAAAGGAAGAAGCACAGGATTCAGAGACCAACTTCCTTGGTCAAAGTCCCTGCTCTGCCCGACTTGCTCTGTGACTTTGAATATAGGCCTTGGTTACTTCACCTGCAAGGATCTGGGAGATGAAGAGTATGTAGCCATAACTGTAAAGGGCACTCCTGGTGCCAGGGATTATTATCTGCTTTTATAACTCCTTGGGGGTAGTGGATACAGAAACACATCCTACTCATTGTCCTAATCCTGCCCTCATGCCTGTCTCACAGGAGCCCCCTCTGCTGTGGTGAACAAGCTGTGTCCCCTCACCCACAACCACACAGAGTGACAGCTCTAGCAGGGCCTCCTCACTGTTCCGTTTTCAGGGTTCTAGTTTTTGTGGTCTGCCCTCATCCCTCCCTGCTCCTCCAGAACCACTCTCTAAGCAAGCCTGCCTGCTGGTGGTGGGGACCTGCCCCTGCCCCAGTGATCACAGTTCTGGGGTAGCATGTGCAGCATTGGGGGGCATAGGGAGTTCCTAAGGTCCTTGGGTGGCACCAGTGGTTTGCAATCAGCTGCTAACCTTAAGATTGGTGGTTCAAACCCATGCAGTGGTGCTGCAGAAGAAAGGCCTGGTGATCAGCTTCTGAAAAGATTAGAGCCAAGAAAACCCTATGGAGCAGTTCTATTCTGTAACACACGGGGTCACCATGAGTCAGAATCGACTTGACAGCAATGGGGAATGGGTTTGGCTTTTTTTTAGGGAGTTCCTGGGTGGTGGCAAGTGAGGGTGCAGCCCAGTCCTTACTTTGGGGACAGAGTTGCCTCAGGAATATCTTCCTCCCGTGGGTGTCCTCATCATCCCTTCCCCTCACTTTCTCCATATCTGCTGTCAGGGACATCAAGCTGAGGGGGAAGGAAGTCGCTCCCCAGCCTTTGGGGAATGCTGGGAACCTGGGGGAGGGGTGCTGAGGCAGCTGAAGCACCACCCTAGGCTGGAGAGGAGGGAAACAAGCCCCCTTGGCATGGTGTCCAGGACAGAGGTGAGGGAGGGGAGGGGTTGGCTGGGGTACCTGACTCTGGGAACTTCTGAGGAGTCCCCACAAGTTGGAGGGAGAAAGGTCCCTCTCTAAAGTAGTGGGGGAGGGAGGAACTGGGTCAGCTGTGGGGATGTGGGGAGGGTCTAGAAAATGTAGCCCTGGGAACTTGTCTCTGGGGAGTAGATGGGAAGTTATGGGGTGCAGAGCAGGGCAGGGAGGGAGTCCGAAGAAGCTGAGGCATCTTCCTTCACCCCCTCTGCCCCCAGCACCTGCTGCTCGAGGAGATGGACGAGATGGGGAACTGGCCCCCAGAGTGAAGCAGGGGCTGGCCCTGAGTCTGCCCTGCCTGGGATGTGTCCCCCTCTTCATAGGGCACGTCCAAGGAGCCCCTAGGGCCAGCCGGTCTTGGGATGACCAGTGTCCTTGTGTCTGCAGGGTGGGGTGGCCCAGCACTGCCCCACCATCGGACCCAGGCCTGCAGTGTTGGTAATAAAAACCCAGTTTGCCTTTGGCTGCTCGGCTGTCTGTCTTTGGACCCCCACCCTTCATCCTCAGCCTCATCCAAGCCTAGTCTGTCCAGGGTCTCAATCCAATCCCCAGTCTGTACCCTGGGGGCTGCCAGGGCCTGGCTGCAGAGCCCTGGGCTCTGGTGGGGGCGCTGCAGCAGGGCATCAGAGCCAGGAGGACAGGAGGTGGGGTGGGCTTGAACTGGGGGTGGGAGACAGCCCACCCCAGATTGCCGGGGAGGCCCTACTGCCCACAGTCCTGCCCTGTTGGGAGGAGCTTCTCTGACATCCCTCCCTCCTGAAGTTCCTAGGTCACGCTTGTGGCCTCACCGGCCTCACCAGGAGGATCCGGGAATTCTCCAGCAGGAAGTTCCTGCCCAGCTAGCTCAGGGACAAAGCCAGGAAAGTGGCCCTGGGACTGTGGGGACCTGCCTCAGCTATTTAAGGCCCTGACTTAGGAGGCCTGGGCTGGGAGGACAGGCGAGGGATCCCTGGGGTTGATGCAGGAGGGGTGGCTACCGGGCTGAGGCACCCATCCCCTGCAGGCCCATGGTGGTGGGGGGGGCTGAGGGGGAGGGCAGGCCTGGTTTGGACACCAGGGAGCATTGTTTGTCAGGAGGTTCTGCTGACGTCCTTGTAGACCTGTTGCTGTGGAGGGCCCCCAATTCCTCCCTTCTGCCTGGATGCAGGCTGAGCTCCTCAGCATATGTGTGAAAGAGAGCAGACACTCCCCCAACTCTTTCATTGCCATTCCTGTTTATGGACACTTGTCTGACGTTCCCCGCTGACCCCACCACCACGTCGGTCATTGCTGTGTCCAGCCTGAAGACTGGTGCAGAGCTGAAGTTCAGTGTCAGAACATGGCGGCCACTCTTAATAATGACTAGGATTGATAGCAACAGCTGTTTGCTAGGTAGATGAGCCCATGGCCACATGCTTGGGGTGAGGTGGGGAACTGCACAGACCTGGCCCCAGCCCAGCCCAGCCCAGCCCAGCCCAGTGAAGCTGGAAGTCCTCCCTCCAATCCGGCTGGGGGGGTGGCAGGCGGAAGGGGGAGGGCTTTGAGAGGCTATGGGCTCATGGGTGGGGCTGAGGGCTTTCTCCTGGGCTTCTTGGCCAGAGTCAGTGGAGTCTTTGACTCAGACTTTGAGCTAGGGGCTGGCAGAAAGGTCCATCTGGACTGTCCCTGAGTCAGCTGGCAGGTCACCTTGTGACCAGATGACTCACCTGTGCCCTAATGGTCCTGCTAATCATTTCCTCCAAGAGTGCAGGCTGTTATGTGTGTGTGTTGGGGGAGGGTGTTTGGAGGGCAGCCTGTGGGCTCCCTGGGTGCACCTGGACCCTCTGCTGCCAGCCCACATGGAGATAGCACTCACTCTGGCCCCACGCCCTGTTCAGGGGCCCCATGGAGAGAACACCTCTCCTTCTGACCAGGCCTAGGCTGGAGAGGGAATCCCGGGCCCCAAGCCTCCAGTACGGAGCTTCTTCCTGCCCTCCACCATTGCCCTCTGGGTCGGACCTGCCTCCTGTACCTGTCTGGGCACAGGAAGGCACCAGAGGGGGTTGAGGTAGGCTGGGCCCCCGCTGGCAGCGCAGGCTCCTTGGCTTTCTGCAAGAGCAGAGTGATCACTTAAGCCCCCTCAGCTCCTGGGCTGTGGCCACCCCATTTCAGGGACAGGAGCATGTCATTCTCAAAGACCACAAAAGAGCAGAAACCTTGGTTCCAGTACCTGGATCCCAGGCTGGTCCCTTCCCCCTCTGCTCATTTTTCCTTTCCGTCAGTGAGGATCACAGTACCTCCAGTCCACTCCCAGGATTGGTGTGACTACAGAGGAGAGAGTGAGACCAAGAAGTATGGGGGCAGGTCCTGTCGCTGTAGCAGGAGGGGGGATCTGCTTGTGGCACAGGCGTGAGGGCTTGTTCCTGGCCCCACAGGGCTCCTGGGCTTGTTTCTGTGGATGGGCCTGGCCAGTCATTCATGGGTGGGGTAGGCAGGGCTGAGGTAGCCCAAGGACCGCTGTGGGGCCTGAAATGCCCCCAACAATCAGGCCTTCAGGTGAGGCCTGTGTCCTGGAGGGACAACTGGCTGATCAATTGGCAGGCCTGGGGAAAGGGGATTGTGTACTGTGTACCAGTGACTGAGGCTGATGGTGGAAGGCCCCATGGATGAGTGTAGAGGGCAGGCCTTGGGTTCAAGACCAACACGGCGAGAGGCCAGGCATGTCTGAAGGGCTTCGAGGGAACGCTGCAGACACGTCTGTGGGTCAGACCTGGGGACTGGTTGTGTTTTAAAGCCGCTGTCCTCTCCTGAGTGTGCAGACAGCCAGGGGAGGGCCACCATGAACAGCTGTGCAGGCTGAAGGGCAAGAAGGATCTGAAATCCAGTCCACTGGGCTTGGCTCACCAGGCCATGCTCCCTGGCCAGGACTGTATCTACCTTGAGGAGGGGCCTTTTTCTAATTTGCTCAAAAGGGTCAGTTGGGCTGGTAGTGGCCCTGGTCAGGTCCATGGGGTTAAGTTGGGCCTTTATGTCAGGACTTGACAAGGCTCTGTCACTCTCTGGGGTTCTCTCTTCTCCCCCATCTTCTGTCTCTTTCTGTTGGTAACTGTGTGTTTCTGTCTCTGCTGTCTCTCTCCCTGTGCTTCTGTCTGTGTGCGTGTGTGTGTGTGTGTGTGTGTGTGTGTGTGTGTGTGTGCGCCTATCTTTTTTTCACTGTATCCCTGGTAGGATAGAGGTAAGAAAAGCAGCCCCCAGGTCCATCCTGAGGGTATTTTGGGGACTCACTGGTGGCTGAAATGAAGGCAGTAGTTGGGCCATCTGGGAGCTGGGAGTAGGATAGATGGACCCAGGGAAATGTGGGCGGGTCAGAGTTGGAGGCTGTGGAATGCCCTTCCCTGCAGGCCCCTAGCCAGGACCCCCAAGGAGAATGCTGCCTGGGTCCCCAACTGGGGTCACTGGTAGCCAGCCGGGGTGAGAAAGAAGGTAAAACCATCTGTCATTATTTTCCAGCTAGGAAATGAGATGGAGACAGAAAGGTAGAAGGAAGAGACTGGACTGGGTTGGAACCTCAGCTCCAACTCTGAGAAGCTCATGTGACTGCAGACAAGTCCCATGCCTCTCCAAATCTCAGTTTCTACGTCTGTGAAATGGGCAGATCACAGGTTTCTCGTGTGGGCTGAAAGAAGTGCTGTATGACTTATAGAAGTTTCTCAAAGAATCCATGGAACAAATATTTATTAAGCTCCTGCTACATCCCAATTCTGTTCTTGGGACTGGGGAATAGAGAAGTGAACAAGACATACAAAACCTATACTTCTTTTGGAGCTTATATTATTGCTAAAGGGACAGACAATAAACAGATATTTCAGGAGTGATAAGTACTATGAAGAAAAATGAAAGTGAGTAATGGGATAGAGACCCCAAGGATGCTGTTTTAGACAAAGTCATGGGATGGGAAAGGCCTCTCTGAGGAGGTCATTTGTAAGCAGGGACATGCAGGAAGTGGGAGAGGGAGCCATGGCAGTACTAGGGGAAAGGGCATTACAGGCAGTGGGAACACCAAGTGCAAATGCCCTGAGGCAGGAGAAGGCCTGGGGTGTTTGAGTAACAGGAAGGAGGCCTGTGTGGCTCACAGGGAGTGAGTGGGAGGGGAGTAATAGGAGGTGAAGTCAGAAAGGAAGTGAGATGGTGTTTGCTGGCCAGGGATGTTTTAGTATGCGTGTGCTGGGGGGGTGCTTGACCACTGGGGGGCGCCCCTTGGCCTGTACCTCCGTGCAGTGGTAAGCTAGTCTCTCTCCCCACTTGGGTACCTCCAACCTCCGACGCTCGCCTCAGAGGGTGGAGGGGGGCGGCCCGAGGCGTGGAGTCCAGGAAGGGCTTGTCGGAGACACGTGGGCGGCCCGTCACGCGTGGGCAACTGCAGAGCGAGGGAGGGCGGAGGCGGTTAGTACCGGCAGGGAGTGTGCGCACCAAAGCACAGTAAATGCGTCCTGACCACGCAGCCTGGGCCACCGCGAGGCTTGATCCGCCGAGCGTGCGCACCTGAGCGAGCGCATGTCTGGTACCACGTTTCTGCATCCTCCAGGCCCTCCCTGGGATGGCTCCCAGTGGAGCTCAGGGGTTTCTGCACTGAAGGCAGATTGACTTAAGTCGTCAGGAGACACGGGTAAGACACATCCCTACCTTCATGAAGTTCACAGCCTGGTGGGGGAGGGGGCACCAGGCTCATGCAATGAAAATGAGATTATGATGCTGTAATAGTTTTGGAGAGCAGGGAGGAATCCGGAAGGTTTCAAGGAGGAGAGACATCTTTTGTGATTTGCGCTGGAGGAGGAATTTGACCGGGGAAGTAAGGGGGAGGGCAGCCCGCCAGCGGGAACTGCGGTAGCAAAGTTACAGAGATGGGAAAGTGTCCGGTCTGCAACACGACCCCCTGACAACCTCCCCGACCAAACCAGAGATGGGGGACCATCGTGGACTCCTCTCTTTTCCTACTTGTTTATTCCACGTGATTACACTGCTTCCTGCACTCCCTGCCATGATGCCGTCCCTCCCCCTCTGCACTCTCAGTGTCTTTGCTCAGGCCCTAAATCACTGCCAAAGTGCAGATGCAGATGCCTCTCAGTGCCTCTGCCCACAGCTGTTGTGAAGACAGGCCCTGGTGGGCACTGAATCCGTGTCTGCAGTGTCTGGCATGGTGGCTGGCACAGAGCAGACTCAATACATGGTTGTGGACTGAATGGAGGGGGGTGTGGCAGGCGTTGGGCAGGGGGCTCCAGGATAGGGGCATGTTGGGGCTGAAGAGGTAGGC